GTGAGCTCTAGAACTTCAATAATACTGGCCGAGAGGCCACAAGTTAGATTCTCTTAAGATAACAACACTGTTTAGCTGCTTGTAGAGTACACTTTAACTCTCCACTAAAAGCAGCATGCAAGAAAATTTAAAAATTTATTTTTAAAGCAAATCCCCATGACCTTGCAAAGTGAAACACAGTATGTTAAACATAGTGTCTGTGGGTAGTAGCCTTGGTTTCAGAGTGAGAAAAGTTTTCTTGGATTACATCAAGCGAGATAGTATTGATGCCATGCCTCTTAGAGATAAGCGTTTTGATTTCTTTGGAACAAGCTTAAAAGAAGCAAGCAGCCAACAGCAGGCTGCCGAAAAATTCACCGGACGTTATGTTGATATTTGATTGAGTATCTATCAATCATGAGTTAGTGAGATTCCAAGCTATAACTCATTAAGATATAACTGTTGTGACAACTCATGAAACTCTTAAATTCTCCTCCAGAGCATCATAAGAAAGGAATAGAAAAAAGAGGGGAAAAAATATTTGATGTTTACACTTTTTGAACTGTAAATGTGCACAGTATTTACTATTCCGCTTCAGGGAGTACGGTACTTTTCCAGAACCAAGTGATTTCTTATCTTTAGTTAATCAATCAAGTAATTTCAGCGGGTTTATGTCATTATTATTTGGACTCAGGCAAAGCTATGATCTCTTGAAATTTATGTATATAGTTCTTTTAAGAGATTATCATCTGAGGAAGATGAATCCTTCCAAAATATATTTCTGTGAACAAATTGGGAGCAATGTATTCCCACTTTGGTGTCAGTTTCTGACAGCAGTGTGGGCCAGAAACTTCCAATGGAAAGTTGGAAGATCTGTAACCAGGCAAGAACTCACTCTCCAATGAAATCACAAGTGCCCTTATGTAATTAGAGCTATCATAATTCACACCAAAGTCATATATTTGAAGGAGGAGGCATGAGGGAGTGGAAATCCTTCTCCTTCTTTGTGTGTAGACATTGTATTTTGATTTTAAAGAAATATCAAAAAAAACTGCAGTATTTTAGAATACAGTTACCTTTGCCAGTAGAATTAGGAGGAAGAAGTTTCATATGCAAAGTTTAAGATGGCAAACTCTCCAAAGAAACAGCAAGAACACTTGTTTTAAAATGTAATCTTAGGGCACAGTCTCCCATGGAAAGAAATATTCTGTTCAGAAACTTCAGCAATGTTTTCAAACATGCGGCACCAGGTAAAGATAAGTGTTTTTTCTGCAAGTCAAAATTTAAATTAGGGCTTATTTCCAAATGACAGCGATTATAGTAGATGACCCTACTGTGTGCAGCTGCAAACATTCCAGGAGCATATCACATGCATTTGAAGAATACCAGACCGTTAGATTTATGAAACTAGAAACGTAAGCCAGGAAGAGAGAAACATTTCTTCTTATTAAAGATGCTTTTGAGGTAACTGAGTTGCTGGAATTCCCTTAGAAGATGTAGTATCACAACTTCCCTCTCTAACAACAAGTAAAAATATCCCCGCCTCCCCCCTCAAAGAAAAATCACCTCCCCATATATCTTGTCAAGCTTCCCATCAGTTTAGAAAACCATGCTACAGCCTGCAAATACCCTGTACTCTAGGACAAACTTACAGCAGAGCTTCATTCAGGAATTTAGAGAGGATTAAAGTTCTTCCTCTTCAGTGAAAACAATAAGGAAGTTTGCTGACAGGTTAACTTGCCAGAGAATAAATTTAAGTCATACACACTGAGAAGTTATAAATCTCTTCCCAGAAAAAAAAAAAAAATGCCTAACAGCATCTCAAGCCAGGCTAGCTTTTAAGAGCATTAAAGTAAAGGCACTAAGTCTAATATATTCACATATAACACATGTGGTGGCCGTATCACATGCTTTATAACTCAGAGGGCAGCTGCTGTGTGCGAAATGGACGCTGACAGGTCACTAGTGATTTATACTGCAGCACTCACAGAGGAGTGGATGGCCAGCCTACCCCGAACCCTCAGGCTCTGCCATACTGCTGCCACTCAAAAGCAGACCCACATGGGGGCTTCTGATCTACTTTGGTTAGAAGAGTGAGAAAAGATCGCCTAGGGAGAGTGACCAGCCTCATTTCAGCATATCCAGACTACATTAAACTCGCACAGATTTTTTTTAATGCAATGGAACCCAAACATGTATGAAGAATTAATTAATATGTATACCTCCTGTTTAACTCACTAACATCTAACATCTAAAATTGTTAGCTTACCTGAGATCCCCTGAGACTTTATATGGTTTTTGTGCCTGTGACTCATGTCAAATATATAAGAAGATGACATTTTACGAAGCCAACTAAAAAGTCACCATCCTCCTCAACATCAAGTCCTCACTCCCTGCTGACACTGTTCAAGGATGTCCTTTGTTAAATCATCACAGTTTCATAGGAATCTACAGCAGCTTCAGACTTTCCCTAGAAAGTAGGAACCAGCCCACTGTTATTGTGCTAGTCTCCATAATCCTTTGTTACCAATCAACAAAGTCTTTAAAACACCCTGCTGAATGGGAATTTCACTGCCAGTAAACTAGACACTTGGCCTTTTTAAGGGCACCTCCTACTGGTCCTTTTATAGAGTGAACTATGCTTTCTTATGGTAAGTTTCCTGCCATTTTCTAAACAGGGGAAATTATTACTAAGAGAAAGAGGTGTTACTCAGATTAATGACAAAGACCAGAGTGATGTGAATTGGCAATATCTTAAAAGTGCACCATCCACTTTCCTGGGAACTGTGCAAACTGCATCACAATTCATTTGCTAATAACAGATATGGATTTAGAAGTGTAGATAAGTTTAAAGGTTTAGATTCATTAGCCTAACCACCAACATAACCTGTGTGCGTGTGTGTGTGTGTGTGTGTATACCCCTTGTATACATCTGCTTTTTCAAGCACATATCTGTCTGTCAAGGAGGAAATTAAAGCGGTAATACATTGCCCTGACTCTCTGGACAAGAAACATAAATAAGTGGAAAGACAGTATATAATTAATTTAGATATTAATAAAACATACATAAATTTATCTCTATTAATCTACCCCCAAACTATGCCAGACAAAAGTCACTTGAGAAATAGCTTTGAAATACTCTTGTGTAATTGACAAGACATCATTGTTAATTTTGTGCACCTTGCCTCATGCAGAGCTTTCGGCGCACATTTCAGGCCAGTAGTGCTACTGTTAGGCAGACTTTCTACCCAGTGTAGGGTGCCCCCTGAACTGCCTCTTTTCTGTCCGCATCGGTCTCCCAAACTGCCAGAGAGAGCACAAATCAATCTTCTGTGCAGAAGGAGGGTCCTTCTCACCGCAGCTTCTAGCATTTGAGGGTCTCGAGGAGAGAATTTAAAACAGACACCTTTTCATTACTGCGGGGCTGGTCCCCCGCCCACCTTTCTCGAGAGTAATTGTCGAGGACAAAGCTCCGGGAGAGAAGAGCCAGGGGAGGAGGGGACCGGCCCGAGAGGGAAGGAGGGCGCACCAGCCGCTAGGCGCGCGGATGCGGGTACGCGCGCATCACAGGAGCGCGCGCATGCACGCGCATGCACGCACACACACACACACACACGCATCTCCCGCCTGACACACACACACACACACACACACACACACACACACACACGCATCTCCCGCCGGCTCTGAGTCCGAGTGCAAGCGCAGATTCCTGCCCGCGTGCGGCCACGCCAGGCTTCGGGAGCCTGGAGCTGCCTCTGCACTTGACTGAATCCTTCACGACCGTAAGAGGCGCATTTTCCGCTCGCGTTCGCAACCCTTGGCCATGCAGCACTTAGCAGAGACGAGAAAGCCGGAGCCGCCAGCTCCGGGGAGCTGGGGGCTTGTCCGAGATGTGTGTTGCATTCCCTGTTAATTTCCCAGGCACGAACTGGGGAGCTGCTACTCAAAACCCAGTCTCCGCCAGCGCCTCTTTTTCCTTTGGATTTGGGAAAAGGTCGTTTCCGAAGGGATCTGAATGCTCAGCCAGCTGCTCTCCTCTCCTTCTTCGCCAGGCCCGCTCCCTGTACCCCGGTTCTCATGGACACTTGTGGTGAGGTCCCGCAAAACAAGTGGACCTTATCATGAGTCATTTTGTTCTTTTCTATTCTTTTGGCCATCGAAGCCCCCAGCTCTGTATTTGGAGATTACAGCAGTCCTGAGCAGCCTTCAGAAGGTCCCTCTTTCTCCTGCGCTAGCCCGATCCAATTCCCAAACAGTTTTGCCATTTTTAATTGGAAACTGAGCTTGGCAAGTGGCAGAGCTAGAGGGCCGGTGCTCTGAAATATCAATCATTTGGAGTTTGGAGGTGTCCTGGATCTATATGAGACTCAGCTTAAGAACTACATTCACCGTTAAAAAATAAAACAAAATGAAACACGCCTCCTTCCTCCTTGGCAACTCTGTACCTCCTTCAGTACGAGGATCCCCTCCTGGGAAGTACCAAAACATATTAGCTGTCCCTTACCCGATTCTCAATCACCAAGTCCAAAAATCCAAACCAGAAGGAGCATGTATTCACACACCAACGACTCAGCCCCACTATCTACATTCTGCTCAGACTTCCTCAAAGCCCCCTGGATGCCCTCCTCCCCGCTTGCCCCTGTTACCCCAGTTCTACCCACTTCGTAGGTTTCTGAGGCTTTAAGGATCCAACCCAGTTCCTTTCAACGACATCCCCACCACCTGCCCCAGCCCGCCGGTTCTCCAAACCAACGCAAGTATTTGCAGAAGCAAAAATGCGTGAAGCATCAGATTTTAAAACAGCGATGGGGCGCCCCTCGCCCCCGCCACCACCATCCTCCGCCCCCAGGGGAGAAAAAAACTCTTCTATCTTTTATAATCGGTGAGAAAATGGGGGCAGCGCAAGCGTCAAATCTGCTGCTATCCCCCACCCCAAATCTACTACTCGCCAAATGAAATGAGAAGGAAAGTGGGGGTACGAAGGGGGTGCGACGAGAAGAAAGGAAAGAACCACTTACCGGTTACTTGAAGATGCGCGCTGAGCAGGGAAGCTCCGAAGAGTACAAAAGCCAGCTTGGGTACCCAAACACATCCAAGACTATTCTCCATATTTCAGCCAACACCTTCGGGGCCAGGGGTCGTGGGCAGCGGCAGCGCTCACACACATGCACTCATACACGCATGCACACATGCACACACACGCGCCGAGCCCCTTCGGCTTCCTCCTCCTCCTCCTCCTCGTCCTCTTCCTCCACCTCTTTCTCCACCTCCCCTGCGCCTCTGCTGCCTTCGAAGCCTTTTTCCTTGTCCACTGACACAATCAGCAGCAAAAGGAGGCAGCAAAAAGTTCCATTAGGTCCAAGAGATCCTGAGCCCCGGTAAAACCTTGGAAAACTAACTCAAGGAAACGGAGGGAGCCAGAGGAGGGAGGACAGCTCTCCGAGGGGCTCGCGAGTCATCAATAAACCACATCCAGAAGGGACCAAGAGGAGATGGAAGGCAATCCTGTGGCCGGGCTGTGCATTAAAAGGTTGAGGCTGGTCCCATGTCGTCGGTTGGGTAAAGTTGAAGAGACGATTCCGCGCGAGAGCTGGAGATGCTGTTGGTTTTTCCTCCAAGAGCCGAAGGGACCGAGGGAGGAGAGGCAGGGGGGCTGCGGGGTGCAGCGCTCTCACTTGTTACTGGGGTGTCCGCCAGCGGTGTGAGAGCTGAGAGTTGGAACCCTACTACACATTGATCCAGAGAAGTGGAGGGCTGGGAGGGAAAATGTGGAGACCGGAGGGAAACGAACTGGATCAGGCAAAGATTCCACGGGAAGGGGGTGGGGGCAGAGAGACTATGGCTTACGGAAAAAAAGAGCGGACGGAGGAGGCTTCCAGCAGCTGCATTCGCCTGGTCTACGTATCAATGCGCAGGGATGCCCTCTGTGGGCAAAGCGTGGGAAGTCACTTTTGTCAATGGAGCCTGCGAACGTCCTGAGCGTCTGGAGGTTTTGCAGCGACCGTGTTTGACACTCAGCCTTCAGGAAATTATTTGTACTTGACTGTATAAATCTAGGCAGGCGTTTAAGACAGGGCAGGTGGCCAGGGTGTTTACTTCCTTCCCTGCCCTTGACATTATTTAAAATAGAATTTTTCATTTGGAAAGGATCACGTGATCCAACTCCCTTCCAGGACAGGTGGGAAATCGAGGTCCTGACACACACAGTGGACAAAGGCCACATGTTATTTCCTGACATTATAGCTAGGGCCCTCCTTTTATATGATGTCCCATGTCATCTGTGTTCTCTCTTGTTCCACGTGTTCTGCTGGCTCCCAGGAAATAGTTGGGACATCTAGTGAGACTCATTCTCTATCCTCAAGGGGTTTGTGATCTGTCGCGAGACAGGCTAAATGGATAATTAAAAAGTATCATGATAAATATGATGGTTCACATAATGGAAGGGGTGCTCTGGGAAACAAGAGAGACATTTCTCCAGTCCCTGGCACATAAAGGAAAGCAACCTACACACGTGAGTGTGTGCACACACACACACAGCAGGAAACTTAGGCAGGGTGAACAGTAAAGCCCTTTTAGGAAACTGTTTTAAGCTGAGTTCCTCTGCATAACTTGTCTCTGCTGCAGGACCTCAAGCTCCTTTGAGAGGAGAGAGGTTGTCTGCCATCCATCTTTGCACTTCTCACAGATGCTACTATAGAACTCGGAATTCTGTACATGCTAATACGTTTTTGCTGAATAAGTGAACTTACAAACCAACTAATTTGGTCCGGAAGGATAATTGAATACAAACGTCATTCTGGTAAAAGTTCTGTCGTTTAAGGCGATGTTCACCGTAAGTTCAGACCATTCCTCACTAGATTCTTCCCCACCTGTCCTTGTCACTTCCCCAAGCTCACCAGGGTGTGTGCAGAGAAAATGTGAATATCTATTTAAAAAGAAAGGCATGGGGGAAAGCATGAAGAATACAGGATAAAATCATCATCAGGAAAGTTCCTATGATGCTGAAACTGGACAACAGTGTATTAGATCCTTAGTCATGCCCATTCCTTCCTGCCCTGAAAAAGCTAAAATACAAAGTGCCTGCGATCACTAAAGCAAACCTTCTGAGGTAGCTTAGATGGATGGATTCTTTAGAATGGGATGAAACTCTTTGGTTACCCCCAAATTTCTTAAAACATTCAAAGCTTCCATTAGCTAAGGTGAAGCCTCTGGCAGTTCATGACCAAGTTCTGCAGCAAGGGCTCTTAATCGGGTCCATGGATATTCCCAGGAAGTCTCTGCCAACAAAATTCAGGAGATTTATGGAAATCCTGAAATTTCATGAAAAACGATTGGCTTATGTGAACATATTCTTTATTACTGGGAATGGAATCTGTAGGTTTCAATAGATGTACAAGGTGAGTTCAAGCCTGCCCCCTGCCAACATGACATAAAGAAACATTGCATAAGGCAGTGGGTACGAGCGAAGAGTTGTGACTTCTTCCAAAGAGTAGTGAAGTCCTGTATTTGCCACATCAGTAATAGGATGTCCTCAACAAGTAGGAGGAAAGTAGAAAACCAAAAATGGTACAGGTTGCTCAGATCTTTTTTCTTCAAATTTGTTTTAAGTTCATTGGTACATGTGCAGGATATGCAGGTTTGTTCATAGGTAAATGTATGCTATGGTGGTTTGCTGCGCTGATTATCCCATCATCTAGGTGTGAAGCTCAGCATCCATTAGCTATTCTTCCTGATGCTCTCCCTCCCCTGAGCTGCTCCCTCTCACAGGCCCCAGTGTGTGTTGTTCCTCACCATGTGTCCATGTGTTCTCATCATGCAGCTCCCACTTATAAGTGAGAACATTGTGGAAGACAGTGTGGTGATTCCTCAAATACTTAGAGGCAGAAGTACCATTTGATCTAGCAATCCTATTACTGGGTATATAGCCAAAGGAATATAAAGTATTCTATTATAAAGACACATGCACACATATGTTCACTGCAGTACTATTCATAATAGCAAAGACATGGAATCAACCTAAAAGTCCATCAATGATATACTGGATAAAGAAAATGTGGTGCATATACACCACGGAATACTATGCAGCCATAACAAGGAATGAGATCATGTTCTTTGCAGGGATATGGATAAAGATGGAAGGCGTTATTCTCAGCAAACTGATGTAGAAACAGAAAATCAAATACCACTCAGATCTTAAATGTACCTTGTTCCGCCTCACATAGCAGTTCTAGTGATCAAGTTACTCTTCACTATGGCCCTTGACCCCTGTACCTAGAGTAGTCCAAGCCATCAGTCCACTGACCAATGAGCGTCTACAAAAGATCATCACCCTCTCTTCCTCTTAGATACTCAGTTGGTTACACAGTTGCTTGTATTCTCTTCCCCAGTACTTTCTCCTTTAGCTTAGATTACTAAGCTTGATTTTGGAGTATTCTCTTGAAAACAGCTTTGCTATTTTTTGACTTATGGCTCAATGATTTATAATTGAGAGACACTGAGTCTCCTTATCTTTCCTCTCAGAGGTGTCAGGCCCACTTGCCACATAGCCTCTTACCAGGAAAAAAAAAAAAAAAAAAAAAAAAAAAAAAAAAAATAACGTTACCAAAAGATCAGAGAGAAATGGAGGCCACAGGAAGTAGTTTAGCATAGCTGATACTCTTCACATAGTATTTAAGACATTTTGTGTTGAAAGACCCCTTCTAAGGTTTAATCTGGTGGTAGAATATACAGATGTCCAGACACACTTTTGAGTTCAGATGGTGAATTAATCTATACTTTCAGTTTTTCAAATCACATATACCCTTAGTTATGTGTGTATTAGGGGTGGGGGTGTACCAGGAACATTGATTTTCTGAGATTAGGACAAGAAAATAAGCCAAATTAAAAGTGTGCAATTCCTTTCAGAACCTCCATTTTGGAATTGCATTCCTGTCTTAATTTTGAAAATTAATAACTGAATATATTTCTGTTCTCCCAATATCATGATCTGACTTTCAATACTTTCTAAAACATGTTTTAGAAATGTATTTTCAAAAACAATAACATCTATTCAAAAGCCATATATAAAGCTATGAATTGTATTACATTGCAGATCAAATCATGTGAACATGACAATATAATAGTTCACCATTTCGTTATTTAAGAAAGGCAATTATTACATTAGACTTTTGAGCTGTATTCTATCTACATAAAATATACAAATATAAATATGGTATAGTCATTTGACATGGGCTAATTTACAATCGTGAAGTGTTGTGTTTTAGGTGATATTTGTGGGCTTTTTTGGCTTGTTTTGCTCCTCATCTCGTCTTCCTTATTTTAATAGCAGATCTTACAGTTTGCTCTGAGGGTACTATAGCTCCACATTTCTCAACTACAAAATTGAGGTAATAGATCCTGAGTCACTTTAGTCACGCAGAGTAGCCTTTCTGATCATGATGAGAAATTCAAAACTGAGCCCATCAGCCAATAAGAGTGAAGAAGACATTTTCTCAGGCTTGCTTGAAGGAGATGCTTTGTGTCCCTCACAGAGGCACTGTGGGGAGTAATCCTTTTCCCTTCAGACTGTGGAAGAGTATGAGTTTCAATGAAGGGACTAATTTAAGAGAAATCTTGGAGCTTCCATAAGATCCCTATGAGGAACCTGTGCTAGGAAGAAAAATACCCCACCCACCCTCTGCCCCACAATGCCTACATCCAAATCCCCGAAACCTGTGAAAATGTGGCTTTACATAAAAAAAGGGATTTGCAGATGTGATAAAGTTAAGAGCATGAGATAAGTAGATTATCTTTGATTACCCAATGTGCCCAGTGAAATCACAGGGGCCTTAGGAAATGGAAGAGAGAGGCAGAAAGCCAGAGTCAGAGGAAGGGGTGTGAGGGCAAAAGCAGAGGTCTGGGCAGAGAGATGCCATTACTGGAAGTGTTCATGACCCAAGTAATGCAGGCAGCCTCTGAAAACTGGAGAAGAGAAAAAAAACAGATGTTCACTGCAGCCTGCATAAGGAACACAGTCCTATTGATACCTTAATTTTGGCTTCACAAACCTTTCATTGAATATTCAACTATAAGATAATCAATTTGTGTTGTTTGTGATGTTTTCTGTCATTAAATTTGTGGTAGTTGATTACAAGAGTAATAGAAAGCTAATATTGATTGGGGTACCCTGGAGTGAGAAGCTGCTTTTTACTTAAAAATTTCCAGGTGACATCGGAATTAGGCAACAGAAAAATGCTTAGATTGCCTTGAATAGACTGTTGGTAAAATATAGACACTAGAGATATTGACAATGAGATCTCAGAATGAAATGCTAAAAGAGCTCCTTGTTACATAGTGGCAAAAATATTAGCACAATTGTTTCTCACTATTGTGTGGAGAGCAGAATTTGAAAGTGATAAACTTGGAAATTTGCTAAGATTTCCAAACAAAGTGTTGAAGATATGACCAGATTGCTCCATGCTGCTTATTGTAAAATATGATAAAGAGATAGACTGAGGGAAAAACTTTTTATAAAAAAAAAAGTACTTGATTTGGGAAATTATCAGTTTATTCAGGTTATAAATCACACTGAATTTAGGAAATGTATGGTTAAGAATGCATGATTTGTAGAGAAAGTAAAGAGTGTGGCTGGGCAATGTTTTGCTCATGCCTCACAAATGTCAAAAGATCAGAATATTCAGTCATGCAGTGGGTTCTTTGAGGAAATTAGGCATGTGACTCATGGGTCCTCTCAGCTGTCTCGACAGAAGACAGGAGTAAAGAAGACGTTTTCTAGGAAAGGCCTGTGGAAGAGTTTCCTGTCTAATGCAGTAAACACCCAAGACATACATGGGAGACCAGCAAGGTTCTTGAGATAATTTTATCAGCAGAAACACTGACAGACTGGACTCCAAAGAGGACAAAATGATAGAAGGGACAAAGAGGACAAAATGAATGAAGGCTGCTAGATTTTTTAAATTCTATAGGCAGGAAAGAGGCTGATGAGAGTACTCAGCTGCAAGTATGTGCTACCTTTATGAAAAAGAATAAAAGAACGCAGAGGGCAGAGCTTTGAGACAAGAGGATGA